TCTTGTCCTGCTCATTGACACCTACCCAGGTGCCCAAGCCAGAAATCTGTAGCTCTTCTAGACTTCTTCCTTTCTACTTGATCTGCATTTCTCAGTATCTGCCAGGTCCCTAAGTATTATTCCCCTTCTTAAATATTTCTCATATCTGTTACTCCTTATTCTACTATCTTTGACACCCCTTCTGGTTTTTCCTTCCTCTATTGTACTGAAAAGACCAAATCTCAGAATGCCTACTGCCTCTGTTGTATGGGTTCCTACTCCCTTCTGATAAAACTTCTGGTTCCACAGGCGGTGCCTGTGCTCAGTGGGCGCCGGCCCCATATACCAAGGGTGGCAGGTTCAAACCTGGCCCTGGTTAAACTGCAACAACAAAAAAAATAGCCAGGCGTTGTGGCAGACGCCTGTAGTCCCAGCTACTCAGGAGGCTGAGGCAAGAGAATTACCTAAGCCCAGGGGTTGGAGGTTGCTGTGAGCTGTGATGCCATAGCACTCTACTGAGGGCAATAAAATAAGACTCTTGTTTCAAAAAAAAAAACAAAACCTTCTGGTTCCAGATGACTAGTCCAGTTGCCATAAAGGCTGGCCAGTAATATGTACCACAGCATGGCAAGAAAGCTCCTGAACAGAGAATTTCATCAGTTGCTTTTCATCTCCTCTATGAGGAGATCCACATCTGAGACACAAAGACAGCTACTCAGCTGGTTACAAAAACAGAAGCTGAAGACAGACAGGGAAGGCACAGGTGACCACAAGGAGACTATAGAAACTCCTGAGTAAACAGAAAATGAGTAAGCCAAAGCTGCTGGGTATACTGACTGGAGTAGGGTAACTGTCTGCAGTGCTAGAAACAGAGGAACAAAGTAACTGTAATAGTGGAAGACAAACTCTTGCTGCTTATAAGGAGACAACAGAATAATGCTAGAACTGCCCTAGAATCTGACCCACTTTCCATTTCCTAAATTATATATACTCTGGCCTGTGTGAAGCATGGCTAGATGACAATACATTGGTTCTTGTGTGATTTCTGTTTTCCCAAGGGATTCTTGTTATCCCTGTGACTTCAACCCACAATCACATTAATCTAGTTATACAGATTAGTTCTGCAGCCACGTGATGCTCTAACATACCTGTTTATGTTCATACACTATTTTGTTCAGCTGGAACAATTTCTTTCTTCTCCTGAACAAATGCCTCTTAGTCTACCACTGCTTAATTATCTTTTAAGACTGAGTCAAGTTTCTCAAAGCAGCTTTTTCAAGTAGGTTAGGGACTCTTCCTTTACACTCAGCGTCACTGCACATTCTGTGTGCCCACAACTAGAATCTAAGTGAACTTTCTCGGTCTACCTTTGTATCCTCAGTCCTTGGCCCAGCCCTGGCACTAAGCAGACATTTAATAAATACCATTAAAAAAATACCATTTTTTTCCCTCTTTGTTTTTGAAACAGAGTCTCACTCTGTGCCCTGGGGTTGAGTGCTGTGGTGTCATATTTCACGGCAACCTCAAATGCTTGGGTTCAAGGGATCCTCTCGCCTCAGCCTCTAGAGTAGCTGGAACTATAGGTGCTTACCACAATGCCCAGTTTTTTTTTTTTTTTTTTT